CTATCAAAGAATCCCACAGAAGGACCATGCTTGTTGGGTTGCCTCGTCGCCTGTGCGCGACAAGAAGGGAATTATACAAGTGCCAGACATATGTAACAATATGTACCTACTATGATACAGAATGTAAATAAAATTCAATCACATTAAATGTTCTATACAAAACTTTTTGAAATAAATATATAAAAAAATTGAAACATGTTCTCTTATACTATAAAAATAATTTCAATTACTTATATTTTCCTATTAATAATAGAAGCTTTAAAAGAATTATTTATACTAAAATATAAATAATAAAAATTAAGAAAATGGCACGTTGTTAAATTCCAACTTTGCATTTTTCTATCACAATTACGCTTTGATTTGATTCTAAATATCACAAAATTATGATGATTTTTTTCGCTTTATATTACTCTATTTCATTTTTAACCCCTTTGTATCTTAATAATTAATGTTGCATAATAACAAACAAAAATTATTATTATTTTCCACATTTCAACTTTTTTCTAATTCCTTCCTTCCGATCTCTTAAGACTTTCCTATATGACGAAATAACTCGTCCACTATCGCGAGAAATGGCGAAATGCGTTGCAAAACCCGTGCAACTTTCTTACGTGACGAATCGTAACAGCCATTGGAAATGTAAACGGATGGTATGAGTGAATCGGTACGGCGTGATCTGATTGATCGATATGCGACCTTTCGCAATATTGTAAAAACTAGTTCTCATAATGTCTAAGTTAAAAAAACTCCGATGAAGAAAACCCAATTTTATATATAAATTCTGAAATCATCAATCTTAAAAAATATATCATATATATAAATAATAAATATATTATCTGAAATTTTCGTTAGCAATTATATCAATCACGGAATCTTACATGAATTATTCTATCGAGAAGATTGTAATCAGTAAACATAGAAAACATAATCCGTTAGTTTCTAAATGACGTAAGTACATTTTACACCTTCCAGGAAATAAAAACTCTGAATGAGATATTATTGAAAATTTTTTGTTTTTAAAAGTAAAGTGTAACATCCAGAAATATGAAAAAAATAGAAAACCTTTAAAAATATATTTAAAATATTAATAATTGTAATATTTTATAAAAATGATGAAAAAAGTAATTGTAAATAAATTAAAAAATATTTAAATAAAAAATGTACTGCGTGGAAAATATAAATTAAAATTATTTAGAAATAAAAAAAGAAAGTTTCTAGTGCCATTTTTTTTGGTCCTAAAATGGATCAATTTTACAAACTAATTTATTGCAATTATATCAAGATACATTAAAACGATTTTTAAATCTGTATAAAAAACCTGAATCAATCTCACCAAGAAAACAATGATACGAAAAAATGGCATGAATAAAAACAGGTAGAATTCTATTTAATTACGCGCTATTTCCGTGACATTTTGCATTTTTTGTGTTGCCATATCATTTAATTTGTTTTTTCTTGAAAACTATATTTGTGAATTAAATTCGCATAAAAGAATCGTAAATTACACTTGTAGTGTTTCTTTTCTATGGAATATATAGATAGTTCTTGTGCAGCATAACTCATTTTTAATTAAAATTAATCGTTCTCGATTTTCGGAGTTTTTACATTCAGTTTCTTTTCATTTCTTTGAAAGAGTAATCTTTTAATGTTCATTAATATTCACGGCAATTCAAAAATAGAACATGTGATACTTCATCATAATTTGCAAAGAAAAAGTATCGTATCAATATATTACAAGATGCATGCGCAGAAACTGAATTTTAATTTTAAGACAACATTTTAAGACAATAAGAAGTAAAAGAGATATAAAAAGTTTAAGAAGGATAATATTTATTTAAGAAAGAAAAATTAGATTTAACCAAAAAGGTAGAATCAAGCAAAAAGGAGAGTTGAATGTGGATGAATTTCTACTTTCGTGCACGCAATGTTAATGTAAATTCCAAACTTTTACTCCTGTCTTGGCGGGAATGATTATATACCATTGTGACGAAAACATCTAAACATGTACACCTTACTTTCAATCAAAGAGATTTATTTGTGTATATATATATTTTTTTTTTTTCATGTATTGTTTAATCATTCAGCGCAAAAAAATTTCAGGATATCTACATGGCGTTTCAGAGAGAAAAAAATAACTTTTTGTTAAATGGTATAATTCATTTATCTTTTTATAAAATATTAATACACTTTTAACAATATTAGCTCTAATCAAGAATTCTTTCAAAAAAATGCTTCGCCTAGTATCTATGTAATTTATCAATATACAGTAGTGTCTGAAAAACATTAAGATAGTATAATCGAACGACTGTCAGTGCACCTTATAACGGACTTATACATGGCGCCGCCTCGAACGAGATCCTGAAGAGGGTGGTGCTTGATGGGATGACTCACGCGACTGGGAACACGACGCACGACCTTCGTCTCTACCCCGTTATTTTGTATCGCAGACTGCCGTGACCTTACGATTATCATTGTAGCCACGTATCACAGCCGCATATGTATAATTATTATTATAGCCACGCCGACCGCCCGGTATTCTGCAAATCGCACGACCATGGTCAGTCGGCAACTGCGTACGAATACGAAAGCATTTCGACGAATTTATCAATATGCAAATGTGTCCCCCACTGTCTTCACAGATAATTAACACATATTACGTATAAAAATAAAATTCTTTGCTGCTTCGTTTCTGTAAATAACGACCTAGACCTCATAAATTAATATATGTACAAAAAGGTTTTTCAAAGAGTCTCTGGAATATTAATAAATATATATAAATGTGATATATCTCGAGATATAAATCTCTGTAATCTTTCTGTCAGGAAATAAAGATTCGGACTAAAATGATATTTTATGACCGCAAAACGGACAAAAAGTTTTCGACTTCACCTTCCTTTCATTCAAAAAGAACAATCGTGGTCAATCTCTTTTTTTTTTAATATCGCACACAAAGAAATCTCGAGAAGAATGAAGCTTATTAAAAATCACGAAACGTTATTTTTATATATATTCGACATAATCGATGCAAAAATCAATTAAGCACTTAAACCTAAGTTGTTCCACAGCTGACGGCAGATAATGCGAATGGGAAAAAAATACGCCTATAGACGTTAAGAACTGAAAGTTATCTCAACGATTTGAGGATTCATCAGCGAAAGGACAGATGTCGAGAAACTTCAAACGACATTTCCAGGAGAAAGGAAAGGAGAATTTATTTCATTAATAACAGTAATAGATTCGATTATTATAGCGTCAAATAAAAGAAACTGTCAATCGGTTCTCCGAAACTTCAGTTTAAATTAAAAATAAAATAAATTCTTATTCAATTTCAGATTTGTTTCATATTGCATATAAAATATGTTATTATCGAATTTAAAAAATCTATTTCCTTGGTGATTATCATTATTAATTTTTTTTATATGGCAATTTCATTCATTCAAGAATTTGAACAAGATAGTTAAGGTTGACCAGAATGGAAATATATTGAATACTCATTGTGATATTTCGTTTTACAAATCTGCCTTATAATACAGAAAAAGAGGAAGAGAGTGAGAAATAGAGAGATGAAAAAGAGGGATATCATTATAGAGAAAAGAAAGACAGACAGTCTCAAAGTGAGAGAGACGAGAAAAAGAGAGAGGAGAGAGAGAGAGAGAGAGAGAGAGAGAGAGAGAGAGAAATATGAGAAAAGTAGAGAGGTGCACCTCTTCTCGAAGTGTCCGAAGGAGGAGGTGGTAGCGATAAAAAGAAGAGGGAGAGGGACCTATGACACGTGACCAATGACTTATATAAAGGTGGTGAACGACAGAGCCCAAACACAGAGTTCTATCTCTCGAAGCAGCGGAGGCGGTGTCCTTAAAAGTGCCTGTAGAATTTTTTCTGTTAATTTTTCGTTTGCCTCCGCGTCACACAATCAACTTTTTCGTTGAACCATGAGGACGTACTTCGTGATAGCCGCCATACTGATCGCCGGTACGTAAATACAGACCATCATCGGGGGGATTAAGTTAAGGATGGTGAAGTTAAGATGGGCCGGTTAAATACGGAAGATCGCGAGTGAGATGCGATACTCATCGAACAATAAGAAAGTGGAGACTGCATCGTTAGTGTGTGAAATATACGCGTGTGGTAGAGTAGAGCAGTGCGTCTTACGTGCGTCGAGAGCAGGATATAATCGGGACCGAGTTTTGCGCTGCATCAAAGGACTCGCAGAAATATATTCTTTGGAAACTCTTTCGAAAACGCGATCGTTCGATTCATGTTCAGGCGGTTGCATGTGCAAGTTTTCGATTTACGAATAATATTTCTCTCTCTCTCTCTCTCTCTCTCTCTCTCTCTCTCTCTCTCTCTCTCTATTTTTATCTCCCTCTCTTCCTTTTAGTCTTTTTTAACGTAATTAATTTACTTAAATCATTACTCATTAATTATTAATTTATTTCCCTATAATCAAATTTATCATTTAAATCAACGATATCAATGCATATTTAAAAAAAACAAACCAAAAGACTTATATAGTCTTAAAAGATTGAAAGATATAAAAATTGTATGTGAATGCCACCTTTAAAGCCTAAAATAATATATCTTCAAGTGTATTAAAATTAAAATTTTTTAGTCATAAAAATATTTTTTTTCTAATTTATTACAATTATATTAAATAGATAATAAGACTACATTTTGCTTATATATTTCTTATATATTTTTGCTTATACTATATATTCCTAAAAAATACAAAAAAAAAACAAGAAATAAAACACACAATTATATGTAGATATTTAATAATTTAATAATTTAATTAAGTTGCAATCATAATTGTATGCTTATAATTATAGTTCTCTCTATTCTTCATAAAACCTAATAAAAACATATTTTCTAAAATAACTGTATTAATATTTATCACAACATATATAAAAAAATGCCGATGTATCAATATCTCTCAAAATATTTTAAACAAATTATTTAAAGAGAATTCTATATATATTAAATAATATTATAATTTTTTTGAAAAAATATGTATTCCATATTAAACTTGAAAACACGTTTTTACTGTATCAAAAAGTTTCTCCGGATTAATTAAGCAGTTAATTAATAATTAAAAATTGCCCCCGGTCTAAAAAATTTTCCACGCTTTCTTGCCATCGCGGCATAACCTTGGCCTAGATCTTGACCCTCCTTTTTATTCCTTTCTTACTAAAAGAAAATTCAAGGATATGATTAATCACGACAAAAATTATTTATACAACTTCCCTAATAATATAAATTAATATCAAATTTTCAATATCAATTTTTCATAAGTATAATTAAATGTGTCAAGAAACTGAATTTAACGCAAAAAAATTTTTTTTTAATTCCAATGTTTAATTAGAAAGCTATATAAATTCCACAGATCTATACGTAAAAAAATACGAATTTCTATATGTAAAGGTTAATTAAGTCGGACAATTATTAAGAGGAAAATTATATGTAATCCTTCTAAGTGAAAATGTGATATTATGAAGAAACTTATATTAAAATCTTATATATTAGAAATGTTCTTTCATAAAATTGAAATTTTCTCTCATTACATTTCACGTAAATGTATGTGATGAAATATTTAATAATGAAGTATGTAATTGATTATTACGTACTGTACATTAAATTCTCACGTAAAACATTTATAATGAAACTATCTTAGCTAATATCACAGAAAAAGAAAGAGAGAGAGAGTAAAGAGAGGAAAAGAGAAAAAACATATGGATAGAAAAGAAACTAAAAAGAAATTAAGAAATAATTTTTTTTTAATTTTGTCAGAAAATTTATATTTTTTTAAACACACATTTTTGAACATTTTTATTTATTTATATTGAATTTCTTGGCTTTATTATAATAGAATCAACTCGGTGTCATCTTCAATATTATGGAACATATTATCAATCCTCATCTAATTGAAGAATTTCGATTTTTAACATGCAAATCATTTTAACATGTAAATTGATATTTTATATAACTATTACATATTTTAAACAAATAATTATATAACGATCTAATACCGCATATTTTATAAAACGAGTCAAATAAGACTGGGATGGGGCGAGGGAGGGGCCTTGTCTGCGGTCCCCTGGCTGACGAATATTTCGAAGTCGCTTTCGGTGGCGAGACCGGTCCCTTGGAAAACGAAAGTGAACACAACTTCACGCAGACGCATTCGTATACAGACTCGCACTAAGGCTTGCAATGCGAACCGGGTGAACGGGATGCTGGGAGGGCCCAGTCACGAGCGGTTGCGGCCGGGGCCTGGCCGCGGGCTCAAAGTGAAAGCGTCCGGCGAAAGTTACCGTCCCGCACAGTCCCTTACATAAGACATTTTAACTTACTTATTCAGGCGTCTTATGCCGCGTGCGCGCGAAAAGAAACAGGCGTAATTAAACACAATTAACATGGACACTGCGATATATACGCAGTATTTCTCAAATTCTTCATCTATCAACCCCCGATTTTATTCTTCCGTAATGTCGATGTTCCCTGCTACTGAATCGCTATTTTGTCGCGATTATTGCTGTTAAAAGAGGCAATGGAAAAAGGAAACCGGAATGAAGGCTCTCTCACGACCGGCAGTTAATTTTAGCCTGCGATTTTCTACGGAGAACGGTGTTATCGAACTAAAGGCAGGGTCACTTGTAACCGTGATTCAAGAAACTGGACAAAACATGGATACGAAAGTAGAAAGATGTTTTTATTTCCTAGAAATACAAGGAAATAATCTTTTATGTATTTTACGCGAATTTCAAGAAAAATATAGTATACATTTTCGGTACATTTCCTTTTTCATTGTAGACACTACAATCGAAAATAAGCATATTTATTTTAAGAGAGAATTACTATCGTATCTTAATCTTTAAGAGAAGTACGATTATGATACAAACTATGATTTGTTTTTAGAGTATTGATTAATCAAAATTTAATACAAAAAACCTCGAGAATACGCCGAACTCGACATGCAATTTTTGCTTGATCATTTCAGGAACGAATGGTCAGGAGTCCTTCAAATGTCCGGATGACTTCGGATTCTATCCGCATCACATATCGTGCGACAAGTATTGGAAATGCGACAACAGCGTGGCGGAACTGAAGACGTGCGGCAACGGTCTGGCATTTGACGCCAGCGACAACAAGTTCCTCACCGAGAACTGCGATTATCTGCACAATGTAGACTGTGGCGAGCGCACGCAGCTCGAACCGCCTATCGGCACGCCGCACTGCTCCCGCCTCTACGGCATCTTCCCTGATGAGAAGAAGTGTGATGTCTTCTGGAACTGTTGGAATGGCGAGGCCTCCCGTTATCAGTGCAGTCCCGGACTGGCCTATGACCGTGAAGCCAGGGTGTGCATGTGGGCCGACCAGGTGCCCGAATGCAGAAACGAAGGTATCGATTTCGCTGATCACAAGTCTACCTTAATCCTAAAGTATTCTGTATTATCAACATTGCAGATTTAAAAAACATTCCGAATTGGCTGCGCAGATTGTAAAATCCTTTTACAATTAAAATCTGCATAAAGAGATGCCGGACAAACGAAAAAATTGAAAAAAGTTAAAAAATTACGTATTTAGTATCATTGCAATTTTTTAACTTTTTTTCATTTTCTCGTCAAATTAACCACCTCTCTTTTTTTGTGCATATTTTAATTTCGTAAAAGAATTTTACGAAATTAAAATATGTACAATTTATACAGTAATTCGGAATATTTTTTACTTGTAATGTCAATAATTCTGTAATGTCAATATTACTTTACGATCCTCTTAAGCTCAGATGGAAATTACATGATCAAATCGTCCAATAAATTCCTTAATGTCCGAGGATAATTAATGTTAGGACAATTCAGATGAAGAAGTCGAACGAGAATAATATTTCATAATCAAACATATTGTCCAAATCATCAAAGATATTCTTTTATCATATAACATCAGCTATACAGAGTTCATCCCTATAGATTCTCATTCCTATAGTTTCTTTTTTGGAAGATCCTTAATATTTATTATTGTAATTTTTTTAACATAATCAATATTTTAATTTCTACTCTAACACTGATATCAAATTGAATATTATAACGTAAACTTGATGGATTTCTGATTCAGTCACGCAAGAATTTGTCACGGGCGATTTGACGCAGATAATAGGACATAAAACGTACAGTCAATCTCACCTCTCTACTTCGAAACATATAACTGTCACAAATTCTTCTACTCCCTTTCTATTCGCCTCGTTCACTTTACAATTTTCCCCCTGGCTACTCTATCTTTCTCTTTTACCTATAAAAAC